AAATAAATAAAACAAGGTCTGTGTCTATGCTGTGCAGTGTGTAATGTGGATTCACAGAGCAGTTTGCAAAGAACTCTTTGTTTCTTCTCATCTGCTGATGGCTGCTCCTGCAGGGCACACAGGGAACCGATTCCTACCACCCCTAGATGCCCCCAAGGGTTCCAGTCCTTCCTACTTGGACCTCATGGCTCATCCTTGTCCAACTCTGCCCCTAGTTCAGCAAATACTAACACTCAACCCTACTAGCTCCCTTTCCCGAGCACCTTCCAAGCCCACCATGTTCCTTATAAGCCACTAGTCCAAATCCTCCAAATTTCACCCCTGAAAGTAGAGATCCTATCTCCACTGGCTGAGGCTTATGGGTGATGGAAGCCTCTCCAGAATTTCCTCCCTCTCTCCTGGATGCAGAACACTACCTCCCTATTCCTCTGTGGGAATATGACCTCTTTCTGGTCCCTTTCTGAACTTGATACACAGGAGCTCAGATGTATTTAGTCCCTTCAAGGGCATCCCACTATGGGTAGTGCTGTACTGGCCTTTTCTTGGGGGTTCTGACAGGATATGCCCTCAGCTGCAGCCAAAGGGCCCTGACCACCTCCCATCCTTCTTTCTTTCCCTTTCTCTCTGCCTCTCCTTGCTACCTTCCTTTGCTACTGTCCCCAGAGGCCAGTCTCCCCTCTCCCCTTTTTATGATCCCTTCCCTAATAAAAAAAACCTCTCTGCTTGAACCCTGTTGCATGGACTCTCTCTCTCTGCTTTTTTTTTTCCTTTAAATTACAAAAGTAGCTACTTCTGACCCTTGGGGCTTGGCATAGTAAATGACACAAAATAAATGTTTAGTAGATGTCCTATTATGTTCTTTTTCTGTTTGGTGTGAACTAACCTTAGTCTTTTGAAAGGTGAATGTTAAGAATGGCTGGAGCATGAGAGTGTTAAAAGTTAAGGTCTAATTTGGGCTAAAAGGATATTGTGAGGTGGTCCCTGTGTAAATAAACCCTTCTTAACAAGGCTTGTGGCAGATTTATCATTAAAAAATAAAAATAAAAAAGGCTAGAATTCAGAATATTCAAATCCCAGTGTAAGATCTGATCATGTTGGAAGGCTGCTACACAGTCCCTTCTGGGCTCTGTGGCCACAAGCTGAGGTGACAGACAGCCTTTCATCACCCTGAGAAAGATCTGTCTTGAGCCTCTACCTCCTTCTGTGTTACTGGCCCTGGCCCACACAGTATCCTCGTTCTGTTTTCCAAATGAGGCTTGTGGTCTCCTGAGCCTAAACCCTTGCCCTGCCCCTGCCACCCGCAACTTCACGCTCTCAGGACATAGAGTCCCTCTCTTGCCTCCCCTAACTGCTTCTCAATACTTTAATGATTGGGTTTCACACCGCTGGCTGAGAGCCCCATCTAGTTGATAGGGTGCTCTTGGTGTTGAGCCCTGAGGTCTGGCAGCCTCCTCTTCTCTAGCTCTCTCAGGCCCAGTGGGCTGACTGATAGAACCCTGGCCTCCCCCCTGTGGATGCTAGCCCAGCCCAGGAGGGAGTTCCTCCTTGCCATTTCTCTCTCCTCAGCTTTGGCGGGATCACACTGGCTGGCCCACAGAAGGGGATATGAAGTTAACTTTCTCAGTAAATCTTCCCTCTGGACTCTTCAAGATAGAACCATCATTTGTTCCCATAGATAAGCCGTGAATCTAAATGCTTAAAAAATTGAAACCAGATTAATAAAGCTGCAACAGCTGCCAGTATCTTAGAATTCTAGGTGGAGCTTCGCCCCTGGAAGGTCTTAAGGGTTTGGGAAAATAGGAACGCCTAAGATGGGAACTTGTACCAAATAAAATATTAGTTTAGCCTGTAGAAGATGTGCATGCTCTTGTTTAGTTTCAGGTCAATAATTTTAATTACTGTCTTCCAGTTAGCAGTTCAAATATTAGAGGGAGAAAACCAGATACTGTCTTTTTGGGACACATAAGATTTTCAAGGCTTTAAATTATTTTTTTTTTTAAAAAAAGCAACATCAAGGGCAGAGAATGTAACCCTTCGTAGTCACAGATAACTCTAAAATAGACTTCACAGCCTAATATTAATTAAATCAAATAGTTGCCAAGCACACAGTAATTGAACACATTACCTACTGTCTCTGTGCTCTTGGGTTGTTTGGGCTCAGGGCTATTAAGAAGACATTTTCTAATCTGTGCTGGGAACACCCATGAGTTGCTTGGGGTGGACACAATTCAGAATACAGACCTCAGAGCTGTGGCTCCTTTTTCCATGAGGGTGTGTCTCCTGGCCCCTGTGTACATCAGGGCAGGTGGGATAGTGATTTTCCACAGTTTAAGGAACTTAAAGGACTTGTCAGAAGTCTCAGGCTGCGCCCCAGAAAATGACTGTTTAGTAAGCCCCTGGTTCATGTGGGGAGACTAGGAGCAGTGTAGGAGGCAGAATCAAGGTCTTGTCAAGACACCCATGCCCTGACCCTGGAACCTGCAACCGAGGTACCTCACTTGCAAAGTATATGGGAAAGTAGGCACTCAGGTGGCTTAAATAAAGATACTATTCCAGATTACCTGGGTAGTTCATGAAATGAAAAGGCCACTTGGCTGAGGATAATAGGGGTCCTGAGAATAAGAATCAGAGTGGGGCGAATGGGCAAAGGCTCTACCTGCTGTGACTATGGTGGAGCAAAGGCCAAGGGGCAGGAGTGGGAACCCCTCACCCAGAAAAAAACACAGGGAGATGGTTTCTCCTCAGGGCTCTGAAAAGGAGTCCGCTCTGCTGACACCTTATTTCATTAAGTGCTTCTCCACCTCCCTGATGCACAAGAGCTTTGGTCTTGACTGCAAGAGGCTGAATTATGCATTTCAAAATCATTTGAAGTATTCCTGGAGAAACATCACAGCATTAACCAATCAACCACAGTCTACTTAAATCATTTTTTTCATGTTATTGTCTTAGAACTTCACTGTGTTGTGCAAATAAAATTTGCAAGGTGGACTGTAGTAAAAATTGCAGAATTTTGTAGCTTTAGTTCCTATCATAAATATTTCTTACATTGTATGGTTTTATCCTAATTATAAGTGCTGCTTGATGTTAGAAGAAAACCATCCTGAGTGAGGTAACCCAGTCACAAAAAGACAAACATGGTATGTACTCACTCATATATAAATTTTAGACATAGAGCAAAGGATCACCAGCCCACAATCCACACCACCAGAGAAACTAGGAAACAAGGAGGACTCTAATTAGAATGAATGTTGCCCCTCCCACCCACCCAGAAGGGGAAGGGCACATGATTTCCTGAGCTAATTGGGAACATGGGGGTAGGGGAGAGGGAGCTGGGAGAAAGAGAGGGGGAGAAGAGGAGGGGAGAGGAGGAGATGGGGGAGCAGGAAGGTTGAGTCGGGGGAAGAACAGAGGAGAGCAGGATGAGAGATACCATAATAG